CGCTCCTGCCCCTCCCGCGCCCGCCCTAGGGCCTCGTGGGTCGGGCCCCCTCCCCCCCACGGAGCTCCCCTCGGCTCCGGCCACTCAGAGCGAGGGGCGAAAAGCCCCGCCTGGAAGAGCGCCCCCCCACCCCAGTTACCCAGCCCACCTTCTGACTGGATGCTCCTCCTGGCCCCGCCCCCTCCGCACCTGCCGCTGAAATGGGAGAGGCGCCCCGCCTCGGCGCGCGGCGCGGTTGCCATGGTAGCGGAGATGCCGACGGGCAGCCGTGCGGGACAGTTCGGAACGCGGTGACGCCACTGCGCTTCCCTGCCAGGCGGCGAGCAGCAAGGGTTGCCCGCCGGCAAAAGGGAGGCGACGGGCCCCGCCCCGCTGGCGGCCCCCCCCGCCTGAACGCGGCCGCTTAAGCACCTCTGTCCTGCCCACGCTCCTCTGCGCGCACAGACACGTCTGTACACACACGCATGTACACGTGCGTGCAGGCACAGACGCCTGTACATGCATGCACACATCTGTACACAACCATGCACACACACACGCACACTTCTGCACATGCATGCACACACGCATGAGCGACGTGTGCCTCCTGAGGCTGGGGGGCATGGTGACCATCCGCAGGCGGCTGCAGCTGTTGGTGGCCAGGGGCGGGACCTGAATCCACTTTAGCCAGTTTAACCCAGCTTTCAACTGCTCCATTGTTCTACAGTAACTATCTCCACTGAACGACCACCAATAACCCACCAGTTTACATTATGGAAGCCGCTGGCAGTGTGGCATCTGGCCATGTGGCTGCACAGTTTGAATTTTACATGGCTCTAGTCTAGCACCACTTCAGAGATGAAGGAAGCCATGGAGCTTGTTCCTCACTAATTCTCCCGCTTTTCATTCCCATCCTCCAACAGAAATAGATGAGAAAACAGGGGGTCTAAATTTAGACCCTGAGAAGACTTGGTTATGTGGTAGCTACATATGTAAGCATAGCTCACTCACTTGCATAACAATAAGCAACAGTTTAAGGCGTTGCAGGAACACAGTATACGAGATTAGCATCTACAGTATAACCTCATAAATCCAGCATGCTCGGGACCAAGCACCTGCCAGAAATTTTAAATTCCAGTATTTTTAAATGAGCAGTGGCTGGTCATGGAGCGGGAAAAGGCAGGGGAAGGGTAGTGGCAGCGGATCCCAGAGCAGCAGCCACACATGGAGTGGGGTGGTGGATGGGTCAGGGAGGAGCAGCGGCCAGTCCTGGAGCAGTGGCTGCACGTGGAGCAGCGGCACAGGATGGTGGATAGCGGTGACAGCCACCACATGCAAGTTTCTCCCTCTGCGTCCAGGGGAGTGGAGGGGGAAGCTTAAAAAGTGCTGGATTTTTGAGAATTTCGGATTTTTGTGATCCCGATTGATGAGGTTATACTCTATATGAAAGACTAAAATTGAATATACTGCTGAAAATACTGCCCCTCCCTGTCAGGTGTATCTATCAAAATACTTATAGCTCTCCTCTGGAGGCAAATGTGACAATATACCTATGCACAAACTGTCTATAGAGGTTTTCCAGTTTTCATAAAAGTTACTCCATTTGTTAGGTTTGACCTAGAAACCACTACACATAGCCCAAGCAAAAGTCTCTGTTCTGTAACTAATGCTCAATTGCAATGATAAGGAGAAGACAGTCTTAGATAAAGGAGACTTGAAAACAAAAATAAAATTAGTGGAGGAGGACTAGGGCAAAGAGCTCATTAAAATACTAAAAATCACGCGCCTAGGTGGGGAGAAAGTATGCTAATGAAACATACATGTATGGAAATGAGATACATAGCTAAAACACAGGTATAGAGACATGCTCAGTAAAGAACTCCTTGCGTCACTCCCTTATAACCAATTAGCAAACAAGAATGCTTATGAAGGTCCAATACTCCTGTATAAAAGATGCTCATAATTAAGACTCTGTGTGCTTGTTACGTGAAATTATTCCGCTTGCACCTTGTATTGCTAGCAATAAATCTTTATACTTTCACCCCTGGTATCTTTATTGGCTTTTGCATACCGGGCACGATCCCAGACTTGAGCTGGGGCTCAACAGTTTTTGGCGACCCAGATGGGACTGCCTTAGATAACTTTGCCCGGACTAGCTGACGACCAGACACAGCTCTTCCTTATCAAATGTCAGGCGCGCCCCGGGATCTCTTTTCCCGGTGAGACTTTTGTTTCAGGGGGAGCTGGATTGCTGAGGCGGCAGTAGCCTAACGGTGCAAAGTCATAGAGTGAAAGTATCAGTAACAGGCACCTGGGTGAGAGGGTAGAAAGGGCATAAGGCCTACCGTCAGCACGCCTGCCTGGGATTATCTCTGTAAGTATTCTGTCTGGCCCGAGTCCAAGACCAGTGATTTTTCCCCTGTGAGGACGAGGACTAAGAACAGATCCCTGGATCCCAGGTAAGTCGGACGGTCAGGACCGGGAAGGCAGCCCTGAGATGGGTACTATTAACAGTAAGGTTAGGAAATGTACCCCCCTCTCTTGTGCATTGGGACATTGGGCAGAGTTTGGTGGAGATCCTATGACTAGGAAGAAAGCTAAATTCTTCTGTGAAACTGCGTGGCCACGCTATCAGCTAGATGATCAAGAACATTGGCCTCCGGAGGGAAGTGTTAATTATAATACTATCTTACAATTGATTTTGTTCTGCCGGCAGAATGGTAAATGGGAGGAATTGATGTATGCGCAAGCGTTTATGTCTCTTTGTAGAAATAGAAAGGTTTTGGAGGAATGTGGATTGGGGGAGGGGGTTCGGGGAAGTGAGATGGCTTTCATTGAACCAACTGTAAATCCTGTCCTGGACTGTCCGGAGCCGGAGGCTCTTCCCCCTCTGCTGCCTTTACCATATTCTCTTCCTCTTCCTTCTCCTCCTCCTGATACATCTGATTCCTTGCTGGCATCTGCTCTTCCTGCTTCTTCCCCCCCCGAGGCGGAGACTGAAAATACTCCCCGACCTAGGAATCTGGAACAGCACCAGCCCTGGCTGTCAGGTGTTTGGCAATCTCCAGATTCCCCGATTTCTCCTGATATAACCCCAGGAGGTGGGTGGAGAGTACAGTTAAGAGCAGACTCCGGGGTTAAGGGAAAACATCACAGGGAATCTGATCCTGGCCGTGGGAAGGGAAATGGGGTATTTCCCCTAAGAGAACAAGTGGTACCTGGGCCTCTAGAAGATGATGGGGAGCCAACCTACCGTCGAACCTTTGTGCACATTCCTTTCACTACATCAGATTTGTATAATTGGCGGAACAATACCCCCAGCTTGAGAGAAGGTACTGAAAAGGTACATAACCTGTTTAAAATGATTTTCAAAACCCATAACCCAACCTGGGCAGATGTTCAGTCTCTTTTAGATATCCTGTTGACACCAGAGGAGAGGAGAATGGTAGTGGGCAAAGCCCATGAGTACGTGGAAAAGGAGATTACTGCAGGGAACTTGCAAGGAAATAGGGACAATCATGTCCCCACCCAGGAGCCAGATTGGAAACCAGACCAAGATATGACCTCTATCCATGCCTATCGAGAATATATCCTCCAAGGATTGAGAGATGCTGTGAAAAAACCCCAGAATCTCAGTAAGGTGTATGAGGTCCGACAGGAGACAAATGAGACCCCGAGTGCTTTCTTGGAAAGAATTTACACTACTTTCAGACAATACACTCGTGAGAACCCGGAGGATACATCAAACGCTCGCATGGTAAATATGATTTTTATAGGTCAGAGTGCACCGGACATTAGAAAGAAATTGCAGAAGACAGACGGAGCAACAGGTATGCCTATTTCCCAACTAGTAGATATTGCTTACCAAGTATTTACTAACCGAGAAAGTGTTCAGGAAAAGCAACAGGACAAAAAAAGAGGAGAGAAAGATAAAAATGCAGGCAGCCCTACTGGCAGCTGCAATCACGGGAAAACCTAGAAATGAGGGATCCCGGAGACAGCCTCAGAGACGGGATCCATTAGAGAAAGATCAGTGTGCCTATTGCAAACAAAAAGGACATTGGAGGCGGGAATGCCCCCGTCGGAAAGTTGGGGAAGGTGAAAAGAAAAAAGAGGAGAGCAGTGGACTGTTTGCTTTTGGAAGGGATTCAGATTGAAGGACACCGGAGGCCCGGGAGGGAAAGATAACCCAGATCCCAGTGTCCCCTGATGAGCCTCTGGTTAAAATGCAACTAGGGGACAAAGATGAATTGGTAAATTTTCTCGTTGATACAGGTGCTGCCCATTCTGTCTTAACTCAAAAACTGAAACCTTTAAGTAAAAAGGCTGTCCCGGTGGTAGGGGTTACAGGGAAGGCAGTAACACGACCCTTTTTACAGCCAATGACCTGTAATCTTGGGCAGACTGAAGTCACCCATCAATTTTTGTACATGCCAGACTGCCCTGTTCCCCTTTTAGGAAGAGACCTCCTCTGTAAACTGCATGCTACGTTGTCGTTCCAGGATGGGCAAATGTTTTTAACAGTGCCTTCTGAAAAGGGGTGGCATTTGCAGGCTTGCCTTCTCGGCCTTCTCCGAGAGGAAAGTACACCGGATATCCCTCAAACCCTGCTCGATGCTGTTGTTCCATGGGTATGGGCAGGTCATCGACCCGGAAAGGCTAAAATGCTGACCCTGTAAAGATTCAACTTTTGCCAGGGGCCCAGCCTCCATGTGTGAAACAATATCCAATGCGGATGGAAGCCAGGAAAGGAGTGAAGCTGTTAGTTGAACAGTTCCTGGAGTATGGCCTTCTCCGTGAATGCACATCAGCTTTTAACACACCCATCTTGCCTGTGAAGAAGCCTAAGAGTGATGAATATCATTTCGTCCAGGACTTGAGAGCTGTAAATAAAGTGGTTGTGAGTATATACCCTGTGGTTCCTAACCCGTACACTCTGTTATCTGCCTTGAATCCAAATCATAACTGGTTTACGGTTATTGATTTAAAAAGATGCTTTTTTCTGTAAAAAAAATTGGCCATTTTTCGCACTGTAAATCCAGCAACACTGCTGCCATCTATGGCTGACACACCAGATCTTGTACATGACTGCCTGCAAACATTGGAAGCTGTTTATTCTTCAAGGCCAAATCTGAGAGACAAACAATTGATAAAAGAGTTTCAAGCAAAGAAGGGGGAGCACGGG